AAATAATTCCACATAACAAGGTTTCCACACTCCCAACATATGATAACCCAAAGGTGCAGTCCTTTGGGAAAGGAGCTAAACTTTAAAACCACAGTGGACAACACAATAACATTTATCTGTTATGAGAAAGGAATTAACTTGGCTTTGGTCTACAGATCCAAAAGAAATAAAAGATAAGTCTTCATACATAAAAATAATTAACAATGACTATATCGTTTTTGAACTTTTCAAATTCATGTATTTGTCCAAGTGATCATAAAGATTACAAGGTTATCTTCAAAGAATGATGTTTCGTGATTGGTGCTTTTGATGAGTTTGACAAGAAGTCGACGAGAAGAACAGGTGGACCAATGTCCCTTTATGTGACCTACAGGAACAAAAAGTCAGGGGAGATATGCAATACTACAGCTCGGGACTCTGATCTACGGAAATGACTTCAGTTCAGGGAATCAGCAACAATTCCTGCCGCTAGTGTCATGTCAAGGGTATACTGCCCTCTTGGGATGATGGACATTTTAAGATATTAGACTTCATGTCCATGCACACATGTTCAAGCATGTTTGCAGATTAACTGCTCATAATTGTTGTCAGGTTTTCACAAACAATACATCAATCAGTTTTTGAAATCAGAATCTAACGGACAAGTACATTATCAAGTGGAATTTGATAGAACACAACAATGAAGCTGCCCAATCAATTGATGTCGTTAAATATATTCAGATTCAACCTGCAGTGACATTGAGTGTAGAAAAAATTGGTATAGGTCTTAGGTATTACAATAAAAACAGATTTGTATCAGGTTAAGCAATAACAAAATGTAATTTATATCGCTCTTAAATAATGTATATAGAGTAACTGATTAATCATTATTTTTTTTTTGGTTATTGAAAGAGGAACTTATCTTTATGTTGTTAGAATACTTGGTATGAAAGGTTTATGGTACATTGGGGAAATTCATATTTTTAGACTACCAGTATTCTAAATACTGAATGGATTTAGACAAGGTGGGGTAATGTACCTACTTCTGCATAACATAATAATAACAATCCTAAACTCATTCTAGGAGAAACATGAATGCCAATGTGGAAACTTGATGCTTAATCACCAGTTATGCGAATAATACTATTTTACTTCCCTCTTCAGTTGCTGGACTCAACTAATCTCTATTATTATTCTCTATTATCATTATTATTATTATCTAATATTTAATGATACAAAGATTTTGTCCTCGCTTACTGAAGCATTAGTGAAATTTGATTACTTAACTTTTTTTTATAATGAGTTCCTATGTTCATTGAAAGCCATAATTACATTGGGTGCATTTCTTACATGTTACAAGAGCGATGAGGCAGATATAAAAAAATACTATTTATAGATCTGTGCGCATGATTAGCAATCCCTTTAATCGAAAGTTTAAGTGTTTACCTGAGGTTAATACACCTTCCAACTTGGCTGGTGTCTGATGCGCGAGACAAAAAAAAAAATAAATAAAAAATAGCGCACTCTATATAATATTACAAAATAGAAGTGTAAAAATTGTAGTGGGACTGTTACTGATTACAGTTGTTGGTCGGTATAGCTTTGTTAAAATAAATTTATATGGCCTGTATTCACAATTTAATGACTAATTCACTTCATTTTATGAATTTTAGGGTATAATAGGCCTATACACATTATCTTTTATAAGTATTTTTATGATGCGTGGGTTAATGCAACGTAGGTGTGAGACTAAAAGTGGATACTCATGTGTAAGACTCTCGCATTATGCGTGAGAGTCGGCAGGTGTAGGTTAAGTGTTGCCTTTTTACATTATATTGCATCAATATGTATTGTGGTGCCTTGAGGTGTGATTACTGTCAGAAATACTTCAGATCTCTCAATGTCTGTTACAGTAAAAGTGGTATTTTGAAATTTATTAGGAACTACAGTGCTAGTAATGTTTGTAGATAACTGCTTTCCATCTTATTATGAATAGTTATCAGTTTATGGTATAAAGACTTGTTCAGACTACCAAATTTTATTTGACAAAAAACATGCGACTAAATATGGTCATGATGACATCACATCATGACCATATATAGGCACATAATGACTATATATGGGCATACATCAGTTTTTTGTGAAAGGAAATTTGGCAGTCTGGACAAAGCTTTATGAAATGTATGACAACAAAGCAAACAATTTCAACGAAAGTCAGGGGCGGCACCAGGAATTCCCCGACAGGGTCCAGCTTCCCGACAAGAGGGTCCAAGCTCCCCGACAAGTGGTCCACCCCCCACCCTCCCCGTGGGAGAAAATTGTGTTGATTATGGTACTTTTTTTTATCGCGATAGTGTAAAACACCTCGCACATATGGTAACGCTGCTAGCACTAAACAGTTTTTAATTCCAAAAATTTGACAGCTTAGCATTAGCATTCCTAAATTGTATTTTCGGCAATCAGTACACTGGTTTTGGGATGGCACACCTCACACTTTTTTGCAATCTAAATAAAACATGCAACAATGGAATTATTGGTCTACACTCACTTATACAAGAAGCAAAGTGAGGAAATGATTAATGGATAATATTCATAAATATCCAATGAATATTAAATACATCAATATATGTACATATGGATGCATATATACATATGTATATACGTATACATACATACATTCATCATTTTAATTGACAAATTCAGGTGGCCTGACTATGTGACAATTATGAATTGCCTTTTGTATCTGATTAATTAGAAACACTAGCTTCACATGCCATTACTTTTAATATATTAAATTGTAGTATTTGCTTCTAACTGTTGAAATGTATGCTTTCTGTAAAACTGTTAAAACAATGAAAGCCATAACTGAATGTGACTTGGCAGACATGAAATACTAAAGGTCGTGAGGAGTGTTATGAGGTCAATTATTGCCCTGAGGTTTGCTCGTCCCTCCCACACAGTGTACAATTATTACATGAACGATTATCTTCTTGGATTTTGATCCAGATTCTAAATAAAATTAATGACTACGAAAAATACCTCATTAAAATATACATTTTTTTCTTTATCCATGTAAGTTCAATACCCGAATGACGAAGCCTAGAGCATGTATGAACTTTTATGTTGGTCGTGAAACTAAAATGAATGGAGTAAACATGGCTGTGAAATGTAATCAATGAATTAGATAGCAGTAACACTAACAGTCTGATGACAGTTGTTCCCGCAAGTAAAACAACATCACATGTACTTATCACGGCTGACTGACCAAGGGTCCTGACTGTTCATCTATACACTCTTTAAACCCTCTTAAAGAGACTTGGTTATTATAGAGCATTGAGGGCTCAAACGATCAGCCTTGTCAACTCCCGAGCCACCTAAAGACTTATTATAATATATCATCAATAGCCCAAATGATCAGCTCTCCACTCCCAATCCATTTTAAGCAACTTGGCTTTAGAAAATCATGGGTCTGAAATCATCAGCTTTCCACTCACACAACCTTGTTCAGAGACTTGTTTAGGGTCCCAAATGATTGGCTTACCATTCCCCAAAAGTCTATAAAAAAAACCTTGATAATATAACATCAATGACCCCTGATAATCAGCTCTCCACTGCCTAAGCCTCAAAATGGAACTTGGTAACAGTGCAACAAGAGCACAAGATTATCAGCTTCTCACTACACAAGCCTCTTAAAGTCACTTGATTATATATAAGGAGCAATTGGCCCAGTAATTACGATTTAGATACTCAATGTTGAGGTCAGAGGTTTGAACACCTTGCTGTGCATTTTGCTTGTGTCCTTGGACAGGGCCCATTACATGGTTTTCTCTCTCCCCACAAGAGTATAATTAATCAGGCAAATAGGTTCAAACACCAATGTACTTATTATTAGCTGCGATGTTATAGAATGCTCCCCCAGGGGGCTGAGTACGTTTCAAGGTTTGATCCAACGATCAGGGGTAATAATCTGATAAGGGCTTTGCTGGAACAATATGCTCAGTGGCGTACATAAGGGGAGGGCGCGGGGATGCAATCCCTCCCCCCCCTTTAAAAATATTTAAAGCCAAAAAATTGCGCTCAAGTAGATAAAAACCACCTATCACCATATTTTGCAAGGTAGCGCAACCTCAGTTATTCACTGAGCTTGACTTCACCTACGTGCACCCCCCCCCATCAGTCCCCCATTTCGGGACTCTTAGATGCGCCGCTTAATACGCTATATAAGACTAACATATGATATAGCATTAGTTTGCCCCCAGTTTATCAGCTCTCCACTGCTGAAGCCTCAGAAAGTGACTAAATTGCCTCTAATGTAACACAGCTGAGCCATTGTATGTTTTAGTGACCATCAGAAAACTTGAGTTGGTCAATACCTGAATGTCAAAAGCTACTAAGTCCTAGTATCTAATATGTAACTGGTAAATGTCCTCACTAATCTGAAGTTTATAGTTCCTCTCAATGACAAAACAGGTCAAACTCTGACTATGGATTCTACTAAATAAAAGATTTTAATCCCAAGAAAATAATTTTTGCATCTATAATGGCCACATGCTCGAACAAGAGCGCCACCATTCTGGGATGGGAGGCATCAGCGTCACGGTAACATATTCATTAACATCTTCATGCATTTTTTTTTAAATAAAGGCATCGCACACTTTAAAATTAAACTTGTCAACATTAAATTGTACAATATATTATTCTAATTCGAACTCTAAGTTAACACGTTTGGAGTGTTCATTTTTTTCTAAATGAATTAGGATTTTAAAGTTATCATTAAAGATTAGTATTAGATTTCCCAATACGGTTTAATCAATAATAAGGACCTCTGCACTGCTGCATCTGAAATTGTAAAGACATAAACACAAATCCTATATAAATACGTCTCAATTTGTGGATACATTAAATCCAAATCTTATGTGATTCTAGACACTCATGAAACAAAGAAAAATCCATCAGACATTCTAGTTTAAGCTTAGAAATTTAAAGTAGAAACGTTATCCATATTGGATCGAAAGACCTACCACGTTCTTAACGTTGAAGACATGACAATAATGCCGATCACTCTGACTGTCCTTGGTTATGTATGCGAATGTTTTGAGGTCAATGGCATCCTGGGCGGCACAAGAGATGTTTCGGATTTCATGTTCAGTTATTACCATCTAAAAAATGAATTGAAAAAATGAATATAAAATAGGAAAATTAGATATTTAAAAAATACCTTTTGTTTACCTATGGTTGTCTCTATCCATATGTTGTTACCTGGTATGTTTAAAATTTAGTGAGACGATTACAGGCTAAGTCTTACGAAATTCATGTTCAAGGAGTTGAACATGTGGTTTATAGGCGTTGATTGGGGCCAATGACCGGAGTAGTTATATGAAACATATAGAAGCATTGTTGGCACGATGTACCATAAAAAACTGATATACTGTGAATACTGTTAATAATATATATTATTTATTCATCCTAATATAAATGCATTTAACACTAAAGTCAGCAGCCCATGTCTAAAACAACTTCATATCCATATCAATCAAAAAAGTGTAAAAGACACAAATTTAAAAATAAAATGCCACAAATTCTTTTTGAATCTTGGCATTCTTTTAATGTTATTGTACTATTTATTATATTGTAAAGTAAGCATTTTTGTTTTGGAAAAATTTTGAAAATGCAATAATCAGGATGGAAACATAATGCCAATGCTTTGAACATTATTGCAAGAGTTGAAAAAAAGCGGTTTCTACGAAAGATTACTAACGACATACTGAATATTTCAATTTAAACTTCAATTTGAAATAGGTATGCTGACAACTGCTTGTTTGAAATAATCTAAAATATTACAATAAAACAAGAACAACAATAGCATGATACACCTCAGTCTTACATAACTTCTGTCTTATAATATGTACACTGAAATATTACTATGATGGTTATTATTATCATTATTGATTGAATCACTTCTATTATTATCATAAAATTTATCAACGTCAAAATTGCTATTATTTTCGATATATTATCATTGCTATAAATATTATTAATATTGAATCTAAAAAAAAAATCTTCTAATCCAAAAGTAAATTATAATCTTAACTTTAATCCTATGTCATTATCTCTATCACATAAAACTTACGTAAAGGCAATTAACTTATTATACAATGCTTCAGTAATCCTAATTACTCGGTTGCAGCACAAAGACATTATTTTGAATGCAATCATACGAATAATTTACTCCTCAATTAGAGGCTGCAAAAAACTGTGTTTATCAAAATTGAATGCTCAATTATTTGTGGTATGAAGCATTTTACTAGGAGGAGAATTTATTGCAATTTTTAAACATGAAACATAAATGACACCATGTACTGTAAGAACGCAAATACAAATTGCTCAATCAAGCGTAACAAAGGCTATTAAAATTGGCAGAAAATTTAATGGCTTACAAGCATGTAAATGGTGATGTGGTCTGATGGTCATACTGTCACAAGGAGGATTGTTCTTGAGGTTGTTATAACCACTTATCCCTATCACTACTTTTTAGGCAAATTGACTTACTGAGCATTTTTCATATTCTTCATACCTAAAATTGAGAGTTGTACCCTGATTTCCTAATAATATTATTATGATCATTTTATATACATGTATACATACACATATATATAGACTCTAACTTTTTATTTTGTAGTTCATCATTTGAATTTTTATTACAATTTGTCTTTGCTCATATCTATATAGTAATTATTGTTGTAAATTGTTTTAATTATGAATGTTTTTTTGTATAATACATTATACACAAAATAAAATAAATATAATATAAATTAATAAATAAACTAATAGCACAAGTGCAACAAAAGTGCTAGAATAACAACTTATTTACAAAACAATACAAATTATATAGAAATTGTTATAAAAATTAAACAAAATAACAATATCGAACAAATAACACAAAAACAGATTAATGGCTAGAGAAAATTAAACAAATACAAAATTTAAATAAAAAATAAGATGTCTTTACCAATTAAAGAATATAGAAATAGAAATTTAAAAAAATAAGTAAATAAATGAGATAAAAATGATAGATTACGATGCTTCAGATTCGACCTGATTGCTTCCTTTGCCAAGTAAACAGCTTTGTTATATTATTATTATAAGAATTGCACATCATTAACTAATGGTGTATGATTGATTGGAAGAATTCTGATGTAATCTACAGAACATCTTAATTGCGTGTGTGCCAAAAAAATATAATAGCAAATTAGCCTAGTACCAGACATAATCAATCCTAGCCATTAAAATTCATTCAATCCTACCAAAGTGTGGAGCCAATGAAATTTAAAATCAATAAATCATTTAAAATTCATTAAGCCATTAATACGCTTTTTTGACAGTAAAATCAGCTATTTCACTTAAAAGTTCATATTTTAATGTACACATTAAGAAAAAAATAGGGCATTTGTAATCTTCATTTCCTATTTTCATTTAAAAAAATTGTTTTTAGACTAAGTGAACAATGCATTCTAAAAGGAAGTATTATAAATCATCTCAAAACTTTAAAGATACTTAAATAATTGTTTGCAATTTGACCTATATCCATCAAAATTTGAATTACTAAAAATATATGACAGAAATTTAATTCATATTGATGTGCTTTGTTATTTATGATATTTATATAAGTGACGATGACAATAAAATATAGCACATCGATAGCAACGGAACCCTGGTGATGCCTTATTAACAACCTCCCTCTGTGAGTTATTCTACACGATAGTAACGAGTAATTGCCTCGTGACAACTTAACAAAATACACAACGTAAAATACCAGGTCCCACTTCGACGGACGGATTTCTCACCTTGGATTTTGCGTCGATGAATTTGACACCTAAGTAGTTGATAGATAACGTGATGGTGGGAACCTTCTGTAAACTTTTGGCCGACTTCCGCAACTTAACGCAAGCATCTCGTGTCGATTCTGTTCCCTTCACTTCCTTGATTAACGTTGATCCTAAATACTGTTGAAAGAAAATTATGATGGAATAAGACGTACTATATGGATTTATGAAGTATTAATGTATATAAAAGCACAAATTAATTCTATATATCAGTTTATATTAGTGACCAATATCTCATTAACAGCTCCATTCACTTATATAAAAATCCCCATTTTTAAGACAATATTTAGAATTCAATCAAGAGCGCCTCCTAAAGATTGTTGCAAGCATACTGCAGTACATTCACTGACATTCATCCAACAACCAGTTTTTACTGGCAAAAAAATCAAGTTACTATTTTCTTTTAGAGTGCTGGGGTATTTCAAATTGTTTTCTCCAAAATGTCCCAAAAGATTTTTTGTAATCCTACCGGAGTTTCACAATGTTTTCCATCAAAACCATCAGTTTTAACTGACATGTTAGCTAAAATTTATAAATGCATGTTTAGGCCATGGGGACTCGTGGGTCCCTGCTTCAATTCTGTCAGTACTCTCCTTATGTTCTAGCTAGTTTACCATAAAGCACTATTTTTGGGAAAAACCATTCAAGAAGTTGGACACACCATGTACACCAAGTCTCTAGTGCATTTTAAAATCTAAATACTTGGCAATAAAAAATAGTATCTCTTAGTAGGACAATAAAATAATTCACCACCACTGTAAGACTACACTCATACGTAAAATTTTTCTAATACTTGTTCCCATGTGCATAAATGCTCTTTTACATGTCGAGAATCTCAACAGATTATAGGAACAAAAATATTTATACATCTGCTAATTGGAAAAGAAAATATTTCTTTATTATAATTTTCAATTGAAAAATATATCTTTAGTGACGGATCCAGGAATTTGAAATAGAGGGGGCGCAGAGAGTCTCTACCACCTCAGGCTCACCATGGTTGGGGCTGAGGTAAGAAAATTTATGATTATGGCACCTCTAGATGGCCGGAAATGGCATTTTCAGACTCAGGGTAGAACTTCATTTTTTTCTCCAGTCATTTAAATTTTGAAAAATTTAAAGGGGGTCCATGGTAGTTCCTCCCCCTGAATCTACCAATGATCTTTACAATTTGTATGGCGAGGCATACTCACATAAGCAGTGTAGTTACAACACCCCTTGATTAGCACCTCGGGCTTGTGTTTCCAGTCTGGTATATTGTTACTATGTTGCTTAGCCTGGTGAAGATAAAGAAAGTAATTCTGTTTAAAAATATCAATCGGTTCAATTTTTACCAAGGATGATTGACGTACAAATCCTTATCACAAAGTGACTGGATCGCTGCATACAATTAGCATGCTGTGTTTAGCTTCAGCATAGCACATTTAGGAAGCCTTCAGCAATTTTGTCCCAAATGGATTGTCTTGGAAAGCTGTTTTTTCTGTGAATCACAAGACATTTAATAAGAATTTAGAATGCTGTCAAGCCAAATTTTCTTGATGTGTGTGTATTTCTTTTTTTACTGACAATGTTTCTTGACATTGCATGATTCATCAAGTTTTTTCCCAAATCCCAGTGGAGGAAATAATGATAATAATAATGTTAGACTTATATAGCACAAAATCCAAAAAGTTTTGGAAAAAAAAAAAAAAAAAAATTAAATGATTTCTACTTAATGCTCTTTAACTCTAGATGTAGTTTAAGCTCTGTCTACGCAATGAAGATTTATGTTACAAATAAATCTGATTTAACAACATATGGGTATTTATTGTGAAATCATTTATACCCATATAGGCCAAATCAATATATTTGTTACAGAAAAATAGGGAGCTTTTGATTTGTCCGATGACGCGATGCTAGAACAGAATCACTCATGCGTGACCATCCTACCTGGCGTCCTACGTTCTCTGTATACGTAGATTTGGCCAAATTGCGTTCCAGAATATACTCAACTAGGTGACCTTAATGTTCCCGCATGCTTGTGTTTACACTAGGATGTAATTATGCGCCCTGTCCAGACTATCAAATTCTATTTGACAAAAACATGTGACATGCCTAAATATGACATCACATTATGACCATATATAGGCACATCATGACTATATATGGGCATACAACAGTTTTTTGTCAAAGAAAATTTGATAGTATGGACAGTCTAAACATGGACACAATTTAAAAGAAGATCTACTCATGCTCGTCACATTGGACTTTTTATACTAACAAACAATGATTACTTGAGAGCCATGACAGCTCTGAAATATAGTCTTTAAGGTTTCAATAGAGAGCTGGCTATTTAGGGATTCTCTATAACCAAGTCTTTTTATGAAGCTAAAATTCTGCTCACACTAATAAATTTTATTTGACAAATGTGTGTGATATGCCCATACATGGGTATGATGATGTCATGTAGCCAAATATGGGCACATCACATTTTTTTTGTCACACAGAATTTCATAGTGTGGACAGAGGGTTAAAGAAATGAAGAGGTGATCAGTTTGAGTCTCAATGTCCTATTACCAAAGTCTCTTTATGACTTTCAATGCTCAGTGGTCAAACTTTTACATGAAGAAATACTGTGGATTTCTCCATGATGAACTTTGAATCCTGGATAATGGAAGGCAGAATATCCTAATAACCAATCCAGACACAGCTTCAATATAAGAAACAGTACGCTTCCTATATCTATATAAAAACTATGAGGGCGATATATATGTACAAGTTCTGAAACCTAAGACAAACCTTTTGCTCCGAAGGTAATGTTGGCAACCTTCTGTCATGCATTGCACTGTGGTGGACTCTTCCATTCTTTTGTGGGTGAATATTATCATTCACTTCTCTAATGACCGGTAAAACTTCTTGATAAATGTTTTCTTCTCGCAGCTGTTCCAAACTACTACGTCCATTTGTAGCTGAAACATTTTGTACATTGTCCGTAATCTCAGCAACTTCCATATTAGTGTTCTGTACTTGTGAGATTTCTTGTGATGATGGTCGATTTGTATTGCATGATGGGTTACTAGGGACTTCTGGGACTGATTGAGCAGAATTCCTCTTCAAAGAGGTAACCTTTGAGTAGTCCTTAAATAGGTCAATGTCCAAACAAGGGGACTGATGCACGTTCATTTGATTCCCATCATCTTGTAAGTGCATTCCTATATTCTGGTGCACAGAAAGAAGAGAACAGCATAATACCAATTATTAAATTAGTAATAGATTTAAAATGGGCATCAGAAGCATATGACAGTATACTGTGTCCCTTCAACCCAGATTTATATCCCCCACAGGCATAGGCTAGTGGGGAGGGGGGAATGAAAGGAAATTATTTCCACTAAGTGGGTTAAAATACTTAATATGACCATTAAGTTTTTGTTGGAATACAGATTTAGTTCCGCATTCTCACTTTTCACACCTCAGGTTGTTTCACACCCCCAAAAAACCTACATCCCTTCCTATCATTACATCTCTCTCTAAACCAGTAGTCTTGTATGGAAATGGCATTCTCATGCATCCTGGACAACATTCATATTAGCAAAATCAGAATTTCTTTCCTGTAGAATCCTTGAGGACAACAAAAAAAGTAAGTAAAACATAATTGCCTAGAATAAATGGGATTTCTCCCCAAGCAGTATCCACATGATGTGCATACATATAAGCACACAAACTGAACTTTTCAGCAATTTCCATGTGAAATAGATACAAAAAATCTTTCTTCTTTTTTTGTGGTTGGAATGTAACTGTATCAGTATCACATTGCAAAATATATCTGAGGCAGACATCTGCTCTCATTGTTGCCCCAAGCAACAGCATCAATAATGTAAGTATTACTGAAATTGTCGCCATCTTGGTAGATTCAAATGTTAACAAAAAGAAAAACCTTTGTATATTAGATAAATTGAATAGGTACGAATTTCAATTTAATTCTTTTAAACTTTTGTTATGGACCAATTTATTTTAGCAATGTTATAAAAACAGACTCATAAACATAGCTTGTTCAATTTTTCAATAATATGGAAGAGACTTGAGCACCAGACAATAAACAAAACTTACTAGATCCCTTGGTATATCTAAATGGCTCTCTGTATCCATGTTTTTATTTGTCTGTATCTCATTACTGTTTACTGGATTTTGACAATTATATTGTCTGCTGTTGCCTAGCGATGCAAGAATTCTTTTTCTGTGTCCAACCATGTTGATTTTTAAGTCCTAAAAAAAAAAAAACGGGGAAAAAATGGGTTTTAACAACTGAAGCAAAAATGTATTATATAACTATTATAGTTAGTGGATTATGTGTATAAATTACATATATTTTTTATGTTTACTTATTCTTGTGGAACAGGGATTATTTGAAAACTAGTCCTGCAAGCGTCAACATTCCTATTCATGATACATGACTTTATCAGAAAATATAAGGTTGGATCAAATTTGTGTGGTGGTTTAACTTGAACAATTCAAGGGGAGTGAGTTTTATGGTCCAAAATAGTGATTTTTGACCACATTGGTTATGTTATTCGATAGGCAAATTACAGTTAGTAGAGCCATAAAAAAAAAAAAAATATATATATATATATATATATATATATTTTTTTTATTTTGTAGGCCTAGGTATACAGTATTTTCATTTTGTAGTTTAAAACGATATCGGGGGTGGGGGACCTGGCATGGCCTACTAGACAACAATATATTAAACTAGCTTAACAGGCCTCAATGTCCCTATGCAGAATAATAGTGAAGTTATATGACTGAATAGTAAAGTAATATGACACAAAATATTTCAATTTGAAAACATATTTAGGCCGATTGCTGTGTTATGCTGCAGTAGCAAAAATGTAGGCCTATGGCCTAATTAATGCATTAACTGTGATACTTTTATCACTATGGATTGTTTTTAACTTTCGCAGGGACGTATCCAGGGAGGCAAAGCTTCCCTCCTTTGTACACAGTTTTAATACAAATTCTTTCTTAAATCACTCAGACTCTTTAATAGAGATCCTAGACACTTACATTTGCTAATTCAAATTCCCATAGTTGCCTAGCTCTGTCCATGGTCAGAATTTGGCAGTCTAGAAAATTTTCCAGGTAATCGGTGAGCAGCAGACTACGAAGCCATTCCTCCAGTGTGTCTGGGATTGGCGAATCATCCTCCCCATTACCTAGAAACGCCAAGAAATAAACAATAATTTAATTAATGTTAATTATTATGCAAAGCCAAGCAGAGAAACATACATGAATTTAGTTGGTTCCTTCAGAGCAGTGTAACACAGTTCTAGTGGTAGCCACTTTCTGCGCTGAACCTTGGAGATCATTTTGTTGCTGGTTCTATTCCGTTGCACTGCTATCCGTATGCAATACAAGTTAAAGTATACCACCTTTCGGATGAGTTTTATAAAACGCAAAGAACATGAAAATGTAAAAAATTCTGATTCTATATTATTTTGGGTGCTTGTGGGAAATTAGAAATTGCGACAAACAGAGGGTTTCTGTCACAGACATTAAATAAGTAAAATTTGGAGGTCACTTACCCATAGGTTTAATACTGGGAAGGTTCTTAGTTGCAGATAATATTATATTACGATGCTGATCATCAAGAATTCCAATGTCTATCAAATCCTGGTCTTCTATGATGTCACCACCCTGAAAAAAACAAAAAAACAACAAACAACCTTATCTAAAATGTATAGCATGTCATTAGCAGATCATTAGGGTAAGTAATGACCTTTAGCACCCATGTAAAGATATTTTTTAACACTGGTATTGGTATTTAAAAGGTAATAAATTAAAAATAATTTTAATTATGAGATCCTTTGTTCTTTGGATCAATTCAGTCAATTATACTGAGCACCTGGCTGAGAGGTAGTAATGCTGCCGCTTTTTGCGCTGAGGACCCTAGTTTAAATCTGGCCAGCTTCGCATTGGAATCACATTGCTTGGCTCCTTAAATAATTCTTGCATGTAAACTTAGACAGATAAGGGACCATTTATCTTTACTCAGTACTAGCTGCAATGTGGATCCCACAAGTCAAATATCTCAAGCTGGACAGAAAAGGCAAATTAAATCTCTTTTTTTAAAAGAATCATGGTACAAACCATGACACTGGTATGATTTGAACCAAGGCCCATGGGCTTTTAGTCGACCACCTTGACCACTAAACCACAGAACTACTTCTGGTACCTTGCTTTAACTTACCATGAAATCAAGATTATCAAACCCATTGGCTACCATAATGTTCTCATATTGCTGTAGTGTGAGGGTTTCGAGCCATCCACTAATACTCATGGCCGGTGTTTGCCCTGTAACGATAAATAAACATGTTTTCATTACTAATGTGATGTGATATTTATCACAGATATAATGTGATTACAAAAATAATATAGGAAATGAGAAATACTAGTGAATAAACTTATAAAAGATTGGTTTGGGATTTTGTTTATAATGTGATTCTATTCCCCAATATCACAAAAAATATTATATAGCAAATTCATTAATATGATATAATTATTCCTGCTAAATTGATGTAAATTATTGATGTTACCATTTGCAAAGATTCAGATAGGCAATAACCCCATAAGCAAAATCAACTTCTGATAACACATTAAAACAGTCTGGCGCCCTCTATGAATTAAATACTCTATGAGTAGCTGTATTAGAAATAGCACCAGCCAGTACTTTAGAGCCACAGAATTCAATTTGAAACTTAGTGAACACAAGCTGCTGTGCACAAGAAGCACACAAACAGTGCATAAAAGCAAAGATACTAGAAATACAAGATAGAGTTCTCGCATTGTAAAAATGAGGTGGAAGTCGTGCCCAACGTAGGCGGCGCCCTTCTTTTTAACCATGCAAGTTTTCTATACTTCGTGCCCAACGTACAGGGCGCCCTTCTGTTGCTAAGTATATCCAGACGCAAAAGGCGCCCTTCCTTTTCTAGTAATGGAGGAAAACTTTTTCACTAAGAGTGCGTCCGGCCATGCGATTCTGCACTGTATTGTTGTTTTATTCTTTACTGATTCATGATTATGCTTTAATTGTTTTGTGTATTATTTGGATATAGCAACGATTTCTACAGCCACCAAGGAGGTTATGTATTCACCGATGTCACTGTCTGGGTGTCTATTCCAGTTTGTTTTTATATCTAGTATCTTTGTTGAGAATTGATAATAAAATATGCGACGACTTGGTAACAAAAGTTTGGCACAAGTTTTTTTAGATCCAGCTGTAGGGAGCGTCCCATTTTTCGTATTCCCACCATGCATTTCGGTGGAACACGGTGGAACACTTTTTTTGTGTGGAGAACTCTATCTTGTATTTATAGTATCTTTGATAAAAGTTGTTTGTTAATACTTTTCAAAGTGGTGCCTATGTTTATACTTTTATTTATTCTGTATAGATATATAGAGCCGGGTTTTTTGTGGCACATTAATTACAAATAATTGCAAAATATTTGATAGAATCTAAGTGTATATTTTTAAACTTTGTTGATTCAAATACAGCCAGCTTCATAATACTAAAGTATTAGTCAATAGTGATTTTAATGTATTTTAATATCCACTTTGATTTTTCCATTTCTTTATCAATAATAATAATAATAATTTGAAAAGGCTTTATACACCATTCTTGATAACAATGAACTGTACTCTGAGGCTAAGAAAGCGAATTTCATTCCCAAGGTTAAGGGCTTAATTTTGTTATTAATAATAACTGGTCCTATTTTCCTTCAACAGGTTAAATACCTACACTTGTAATTTATAATTAAATAAATTACATTTATGTTCATTTATGAAAAAACCAAACAGAAATAGAATTCCATTAGTTTTTGTAATAAATCTAAAGATTTTAAGGGCTTGATTGACAATGACCTTCCCATTTACTGTAGGTAATTAGAGTACTTGAAATTAGTATCATAAACATACTTTATCAGTTAATTAGGTGACCATGGTGGCAACAATTGTTTGGTATTCATATTCATCATTATTCCGATTTGTTAAGGGGTTTCTCCTCAAACAATTCTAAAAAATGTACTTGGCTTCTGCCAAGATACTCGCTAGAAATGCACTTGTAGGAAGTTCGCAGGATTCTTGAAATTTGATTACAACTCTCAACACATTACTGTTTGAAGGTCTGCATGGTGAAGTAATAATATATACTAATGCTTGCAGTACACCATGTAGATAGTTCTGAAAAGACATATTCTGAACCAACATCAACAGTTCTTTTCAAAACTATTCTACGTGGTGTACCACAAGTACTAATATATAACTCTCAACACCCAAAGCATGTATCCACAATGAAAAATTATGAACTATATTATCTATAAAATATTAAGTATTAATCTTATTATAATTATTAAAGCTGGGCATTTGTTGCGTGGTACGACAAATCCAATTCCGCTTCCTGTGAGTGCTACACGACACAACGCTGTTTGCTGATTGCCGGTAGTAGTCTGAATGGATCGTCAGTAAAAACGACCTGCTGTGCGTATGTCATGGCATTGTGTTCTACCTAGAAACGCATCAGCCGACGACCGTCGTGCCGCAGCGAGTGCCCAGATTAAGTATAGCTATAGCTTATTAAAAACGATCTGTTGTGCGTGCGCCGTGGCGATGTGTTCTACATTGAATCGCATCGGCTGATGACTGTCGTGCGCAGTATAACTATTGCTTATTAAAATAAATACCTTGAAGCATTTGTTGAAAGTCTGTTTGGTAGTCTTTAAAGTATGCTGACTCCCTGGCTAGTGGAAATCTTAATGACTCAAATATCTCCTGGATCTGGAAAACAGAACACAGAAATTGATGTTCAGAGACAAATAAACAGCATTATGGTACTTTGATTTTTTTTTATTTGTTTGAGGTACTATGTTGATAAAAGCATTTTCAATCAATCCATTAAATGAAAATTGTAAAATAAAAAAATAATTAAGATAATTGATTGAATAAAATTTATTATGAATTATTTATTATTTAAATTCAATTTAACATTATACATATAACAAGCAATTAAAACAAGCTGAACCACTCTTAACTGAGCTGCCTGGTCTAAACACGAAGAGATGTTCACCAGAACCGAAGTTCAAAAATTTTCTGTCTTAATTTTTTAAATGTCAAGTCCTCTATGCTTTTCAGATTATTACCCCAGACATGGTTAAAGCGCCTTGCCCACGGACACAGACAAATGGCTTTAGAATATATCAATGTATAATATTGATTATATCTTTAGTATGTAGGTGGGAACTCTTTGTGAGTCATAAGCAGATCTCAAGGACATAGTACCTAGTTTAAGGCAACGGTGCATTCATTTATTCATTTGATTGTCAAGGGAGTCTACTGCTATAATTGTGATATAGTGTATTAAATGATCATGTATTATATTATAATAAAACATCAGGGAGGATCACAAAATATGGAGAATCCTGATGGAATAATATTCATAAATCATTTCTAACTCCTAATACATAAAACGACGACGACGACGACGACGATGAAAGCATGATACTCACTGCTGTTGAGCAAATACAAATATAAATAGAAAAAAAAATTGAAGAATGTCATTCATCACAATAAGCGCACACGACTGCTAGTATTAATCAAGCCTACTGACTTTTGTGCCCTCATCAGCACCCCAAACTCGATACGCCACTGACCCCATTAAAAGCGAACTCATTATTGGTACTGGTAGTATTAATAACTAGTATAATAAATAATCATATACATATTAAAAAATATAAATATACTTTTGCCCAGTCTTCATTGTTTTCTTCATCCGAGTTGCCTTGCGAAGCCATGCTGTTGTAAATTTCCTCCATACTTAACACTGAACGATGCTGTCCGCTGTCAGAGCCGAGTGAACGTTCCAAAGATGCAATTGAGAACCGGTCTGATGCGGCTACGGAAAATGTTCTGCTACCACGAAGGGACCCATAGATAAGTCCTGGAGAAACAGACGAAAAATGAATATACTTCCATTAGCATGATTCACAAAGTGTGATGTACTTACGAAAATGAAACAAATTTGCGGTCGTCTTAGACCGCCCGTTATCAACACTTCAGAAGGCTTAATCATCGGATAATGCCTGATACACCCTACCGCACTTATACATTGTTGATTCAGATACACTCAGATTGATACGATAGCGTAATCAGAAGCGGTGGCATTTATGCAAGTAATCAAATTGATGATTATCGTGACGATGATGATTAATTAAATTCCACATGCATTACAAGGCCTTTACAAATTAACAAGGTAACAAAATTGGATTCACATCAATCAGAAAGAGAATGCAACAACGTATGTTGGTACAGTGTATGGAAACAAACATTAAGAAGGGGAAAGGGTTAATAGGTGAAAAATGGAACAACATTTAAAGGTAGACTAATTAGGAGACAAATGAAGGTATCAGGTCACATTACAAAATAAAGGATGGGAAAATTAAGGTACAAATGGAGGAGACAATAAAAGGGAAATGAAAGGGCATACAACTGTATTGTTGTTGCATTCTGTTATTCTGTGAAGATGTTTTCTACAATTGAATAAACCATTGATTAATTAAAGACAGATTAGAGGTTTAACAGCTGGCAATGCAAAAGAATTAGCAGGGAGAAGATAACAGATTACCATCAATCAATACAATAAATTGTATTCCCAGGTACTGTGCAGAAAACAAACAACATTATACTGAAATACACTATATTAAATAAAAATGTTTGTGAGTTAAGGATCCATACAATCTGATTTTTTTGTCTACCTTTCATGTAAATTTACTCAATCTCATAGAAGGATCCATTACATTTTTAACAAGTAGGTAATTTATTATACCAAGAAGAACAGACATTAAACAGCATGTTGGCTTTTAATACACTTTTTTGTGCACTATTCTAGATCTGGAAATATAATGAACAAGTGTAAAATCTGACAAGAATTTATAATAGTTACATGTAATATGTTCTGTTATGAGTTTCTGCTACTAATAGTAATTTACAGTACAAAACATCGATTTATTCTGTGTTACTACTTATTTCCGATTACTATTAAATATTTCAGAAATCAGGAAAACTGAATAGAATGGTTTTATAGTGAGATTACTATGAAAGCTGTCAGCTGAGTCTAAAAGCATTGACTAGGATCAAATATAATTACTGTTGTACAATGAAGTCAACTGTATTTAGTCACTATGGAAATGTTTATTCAATAATTTATGCACTGATATTCCCTTTAGAAATAAACACAGATAAAGGCCCACTAATGAACTGGATAACAAGTGATTACATAATGTTAACAAAAGATACAAGATTGCTAAAAAGACTAATTAATACAAATGTCTGAAAAACATCCCACAAATAAACAATATAGTAAATATTATATACAAAATTTATTTTTAAAGAATTAAATATACAGACACCATTAAATGAACATTATGGCTGTCTCTTATACACATCTAGATGTGTATAAGAGACAGATATATATATATATATATATATTAAATATGAAGAATTAAATGATATTAACAATTAATGGACCTTTCTTGCAACTTTAAGGACATTTGTGGTACACACAAATTGCATTAAAACTCCAAAGCTTTCATGAGCATAGCTTCTGGATTGCCACAAAAGGATAAGGAAAATCTTTAAAATCTTATTATTTCTGTACTTATCACAAAAATGTATGTTAAACTTTAGAATAATTATCAAAAACACAAGTATATATGTGATCTTACCTTCTAGCAACCGTTCTCAACAAATTGTGGTTACACACTCTGATTTGGTTCACCAAATAATAAGATATCATAAAAAGTTTATTTAGAACTAGATGAAATTGTGCATTGACCAATTCTAAATGTATAATAATAGCATTCTCTCCATTCCTGACAACAGAATTCTTCCCAATCGTTAATTTTAGAATCGCGCATTAATTGGTTTATTACACAAGGCAGGAAATCCAAAGTGTAATCAACCAGTGTGCCTTTTCTTACTGACAATGATTACAAGTGTCAAGGCATGTAAGGAATCACCATAGACTATCACCTTCACTGCAAAGCCCTGGTATTCACCATCAGCTAATAATTGAAGCAAAGTGCCTCTGGGTAAAACTGGTAACAGTTAAAATCTCAAAAACATGTCTAGCCTAGGATTGAGGAGGGTGGAAACAATACAGGAGGAACAAAGCTGACAACAATTTACAACAAGTGTGCTCGGCAACATTCTTCTTTTTTTAATACTTCATACTTTAATACTCTTTCTTCGTTAAGCTAATTATCTTGCAGTAGACTCTCCTTAAAACGGATTTGGTGGCATTATTTGCTGGATAATAACTTCCAGACTGGATTGAAAATGTGAAAATCTCAAAATACAGACCTTCAAAATTAAAGAAAGGACGATAGAGCATCTCAACATCCCACTCCCTTCGAGTGTTACATACATACATACATACATACATCGATTGATGTGTGCATCATAAAAAAATTACCAGAATAAATAAATTTATTGGGAGAACAGTCTTAATCAATTAAATCCAATAACTTTTACTGCTTACATTGTAAAATAATTTTCCAAATTAAAAGCTATAGATTGTGTTAATACTTACCTTACTAATCAACAGACACAGACAGAACTACTGTTCCAAATTCTAGAGACCACTAAATTGCAAGTCAATAGGGGTTACTATTAAATATTTCAGAAATCAGGAAAACTGAATAGAATGGTTTTATAGTGAGATTACTATGAAAGCTGTCAGCTGAGTCTAAAAGCATTGACTAGGATCAAATATAATTACTGTTGTACAATGAAGTCAACTGTATTTAGTCACTATGGAAATGTTTATTCAATAATTTATGCACTGATATTCCCTTTAGAAATAAACACAGATAAAGGCCCACTAATGAACTGGATAACAAGTGATTACATAATGTTAACAAAAGATACAAGATTGCTAAAAAGACTAATTAATACAAATGTCTGAAAAACATCCCACAAATAAACAATATAGTAAATATTATATACAAAATTTATTTTTAAAGAATTAAATATACAGACACCATTAAATGAACATTATGGTTTAACATAATCACACAACTAAAATATAGATCAGCAAACCAGAATTTACTATTTAGCTGAGTGTATAATGTCAAGCATTTCTATACAAAAACCTCAACAAACCCCTTCCCTAAGCTTGTTGCATGATGGCCTCTACCTAGACTTCTCTCTGGATCGGGCCTAGCATGTCTACTGAATATGCTTACGTTTGCATAATCATATTGCAACTATTTGACAGTACCCTGACCCCTTTATCACATTTGTAATTTATGTACCTGTTTTTAGAGCACCTTTTATGTGACACCTAAAGTAGAACTTCAAATAATTGCTCTGGCGATTTGAAATCGGTAACGACCATTCTTCCATTCCCTGTAGAATACGGTCTCTCCATGCTTGCATTTAGCATAGATCAATACATTCAACATCCTATCTGGTAACCACAAGGTAGAAAGACAAGTGACTTAGATAAAAAAATCACAAGGGCAGAAGCCAATGGTCACAAGGAGATTCGAACCCTGACCTCCTGGTTACGATCCTAAACCACAACCGATTACATAGAGTCAAATTCAAATAACTAAACCAATTAGACTAATTTATTTTACCTTAAAACATGCTCGTAATCATCTATTGTGTTCTCAAGTCCATGGTGTTCTTAAGATCCTAATATTAAAAATCCATTCCGGTCAGGTTTCAGGATGCAAATACTGTACTTAAACTACTCTTTAATTGATGTAACTAATTGTTTCTTCTAGCAGCTTCTTACTAGCTTCTGACTTGCCACGGCCTCTTAAGCTTGACTAAATCCAATTTGTGTGAAGTTTGAGTTTGTGTGAATGTTATGTCTTGAATTTACTGTATTGAGGTATTGTGGTCTCACTGCAAGATCAGAACATTAGTGAATAGGATGATACCATTGGCTTTGTCATAGCATTTAGGATAAACATTCTCATTCAGATAATAAGCCCTCTGTTGTATGTATTGTGTTATGAAAGAACAGTTGATCGGCCTGTGATTTGAAGAACTGAACCAGAAGATGGTAATCACCAAACGTATGATATATATTAATCCACACCTTCGATATATATTAATTATAATTAGTATTATGCCTATTATTTTATTAGTTAATATCATAATAATCATTATTATTTTTGGTATTATTTTTTTTTTTATTTTGAGTACTAAAGTAGAAAATGGTGAAGCATGATTTTAATCTACACTTTTACAATATCATAAATATTATTATGTTATTATTATCATCATAAAATTTATCATATGCCAGCAATCCATTTATTTATCTTTAACATTTACTAGATGGTGGTAAAGGTAGCCTAATTATATAATCAACATATAGCATATTAATATAGCTCCATTGTTATAGAGCTTGATTTACATAACATAACAAAAACACAATCATTAAACAGTAAGTAAATATTTTATTGTAACTCAATTATAACAATAAAAGCAGTTATATTCAAATATAATAAATGGGATGGTCAATTATAAATTCATTCTCTCTCCATACAATCCAGAGAGCTTTAGTCATCTGGATTTCCACCAGGGTACTGCCCTGGAACCAGCTGGTCTTCACCAGAAATATCAGGAACCCCAATTGAAACAGCTTTGCTTCCCCCTTCCTAATGAATATCCTCAGATCCACCACTGGGGACAGCACTAGATGGAGTGCCTGCCTAACAACCAAACAGAATGGGTGAGCACTACTGTACTATAAAATCTATCTATAAAAACAGTACGCTAAAGGGTCAAAACTTACACATTAACACCCAGCAATGTAGAACAGTGCCAAAAAGCTTCCTTATATCCTTCTGGAATAATTCCTGCAGATTCATTAACATATTGTGCCAGATTTAACGAGACAACAAATTATTAACTGACAGTGACAAT